ACTCTCTTCCTTCTTTGGGCAATGAACGCATCTGGCCATCCATGTTGTCCCTGTCCATTTTATGAATGGTGACCTCCTGTCCCCTCACCACGGGAAGTACCCTTCTTCCATGGAGACATTCACTCCGACTGTTCCAGACGTGTTTCATTTCTCCGAGTTACTTCATCAAAAATAAGGAGAAAAGCTGTTTCTAGCGTTTTTTTTTCAGTTTTTTAATTTTTTGTTTCGAATTTATTAATGTCAAAATGGTGTCACACGGTTGCCTTTTCTAAACTAAACTTGGGCGGTGGGACTTCACCCCAGGAATGACAGAGCAATGATCACAGATGTACAGGTACTCAAAATAAAAATGATATTGAAGCCTCTTGATGGAGAAACCATCCCCTTTCTCTCCTTCACCAATCACTGTGATTACATTTGTCCTACTACTAGCCTACGCTGGCCTATTCTAGTCAACCTCCCCTGTTTGTCGACCAATCCTGCTCAACATAATGCTGCTCGCGCCGAGTTCATCAAAAGAACTGTGTTGGTGGAGCTCGCATGCCAAAGACAAACCGGATAAGCTTCCTCCCTTCCCCACACAGCACTCCTTTCCCCCCAAAGGATTTTCTCTCTCTCTCTCTCTCTCTCTCTCTCTCTCTCTCTCTCTGTGTGCGTGTCTGTGTGTGTGTGTGTGTCTGAGCACCCAGCTATCGCTGGCTGGTGCTGCTCTCCCTGGCGCTGCTTGAGCCGCCTCATGGTCAGCAGCATTGTTGTGCGCAGTATTGAGAGATGGTTAATGGAAGGCCCAAAATTTGGGGGGGGTTGCCACATCACCACAAGCAATGTCGTTGAAAATGTCCCGAACAAAAAATGCAGGCTCATAATACAAACATCAAAAGAACAAACAGGCAAAAAAAAACGAATTTCTTTTTTTGAACAACACTATAAGCTGTCTCTTATACACATCTAGATGTGTATAAGAGACAGACACCGCACATTACTTTCACAAGTTTCTCTGCGGATTCGGGCTCCTCTCAGCGAGCGCACTCCAACCCCATCTTCAAAAAAAAATAAAAAAAAATCCTGGGATGTTTTTTGGCTCGTCTGGTTTTGCCGGACGGACCCCCCCCCCGTTCGTCTGGCCCGGTCCGTCTGGCCCAGTCCGTCTGGGCCGGACGTCGGCTTAACCCAACAAAAAACTTGAAAAAAGAAGATAAGTAGAATACAGGAAGTAAAAAAAGCAGAAGAGAAAGGATTCAAACAACCAAACAAAAACAAAACAAAAACAAAAACAAAAACAAAAACAAAAACAAAAACAAAACAAAACAAAAGTTAAAAAAACTCAATAGCCAGTGGATTGTGTAAGAAAAAAGAAAGCAGAGCCTGGTAAAAACAGATCTCAACCAAATTACTGAACACACAAGTTAAAACTTAACAGCCAATGTGAGGTTGTTCTGTTAGGCACCAGCGAAAGTGAAATGACTGTCAGTAACTTGTGGAGGGACAAAAAAAAAAAAAAACTTGTGGAGGGACTTGCTGTTGATTCAAATCAATTCTATTTTATGAACTTCTATCTTTGATCAATGACTTTTTTTTTTTTTTTTTAATCTGAAATATAATAATACATCCACTTACACCTGGATAATGACAGCGTGTGCCAGTATCGCCAACATAGCCATTGTTGAGTGATTGGGGGGAGACTAAACTTCTAACGACACCCACAATTGTTCATTTGGCGATCAGGATTCAGGAAAATAAATGCATTGGATGGTATGTGTTTTTCTTTGTGTTTTGAGATGTCTTGCAGGGGGAAAAGTACAAGCTACTTTGGAAGGAGAAGACTGACTTCGTGAGACTGGCTGCAAAGTTTGGGGCTATTATTGTCCCTTTTTCTTCAGTTGGTGGAGATGATGCGTAAGTCTGCATATGCCATAGTTCCATCCTGCAGACCCATCGAACTGAGGGACCATCACACAGGTGTGATGATGTCCTTGCATCCCACCAGGGAGTCTGCTAAAAAAAAGCTATACCGCAGTGGACATCTCAACTCAGTGGCGTCCATGGGACAAAAGAAAAAAAAAAAGAAGTTAAAAGAACCACACATCATCTTAATATTTACCCGGACACACGGAATGTTGCAGTCGAGTATAAATCGATCAATGGAAGATGAGGAGCCCTCGCCACTGAGCATACGTGTGGAAAGTGCTTGAAAAGAGATTGCCTGGCGTTGGCGCCCGTGCCTGATTGCTGCATTTACAACTGGCAGCAGATTCTTCTGTCTTTTTAAATTTGGACCATAGTTGGCCTACCTCAGTTGGTACACGACTGAGCTGTCGAAGTACAGACCCGAGTTCAAAAACTCCACCGGCAGCAGATGAGTGAAGTACTACAATTCCGAGTTACCTAGGGCCGGTCAGTTCGATGATGATATCGTCAAGGCCATCACCCTTTTGTTTTCTTTAAAAAAAAAAAAAAAAATTGGAGCGTGCGTTTGGTCCATTTCTTGGTGTATGCGTGTCATCCGTGTGCAGCGGCCACGCTAATCTTCTGTGTATCGTTCCAATTTCAACGGATTGCACTTGAGCAAAGGCTGCCCAACTTCCAGTGAATTCCGTAATTCCTTTAGAAAAAGGACTGGGCAACGTCTAGTGAATTCCGTAATTCCTGTACTCCTGCGTGACACGACCCGGAGGTATCTGCAATATAGCAAAGCGAAGGTGAGTTGTAGGTCATGTAGGACTCGTAAAGACTGGCGCGCTCGACATCGTCCTCCACCTGCATCTTCATTCATTCAGTCTCGGTGATCTTCTTTTCTTCCTTCCAGCGGGCCGCGCGCCCACGCTTCTGCTGTTTCTGTTGGACAGTGGCATGGCATCTCCTTCAGCACATGATGCATAAAAGAAGCAGCGCAACGAAATTTGAGAGGACAGAATTTGCTTGTGGTAGTTGGAAGACAAATGGGACGGTTTGGTTTTCCTTGTTGTCAATGAAAAGACACTTCCGTTTGTGCTCCTTTGCAGGGCATTCTTACGGTGTTCTGTAACCTTCGTTGTCTCTCATTGCACTGTCGGAATGCAGGTATAAACTTGTTTTCGATCGCGATGACATCCTGTCTTCTCCACTTCGACCACTCATCGATGCTTTTGTAGAGCGAAATGGTCTCAGATATGAGGATGTGCATCCGATCACAGCTATTCCTGGCACCAACATACCCAGGTCTGACTCGCATTTGGCCCAGTCCCCCTCTTTTTCGCCCCCGAGTTTAATAAATCTACTCTGGTGTGCATCAGCGTGGGAATCTGACCATTGCCTTAGCTGCTGTGTGTTTCCAAAGCACAAATCCAAGCCTGGGTGAATTCGTTTTGTGAAGTGAAAAAAAAAAAGTTCACAAAAAAAAAAGAAAATTGAATGGGGTTATGGATGATGGAAGAACAGACATTTCGTTAAAACCGTAATAAAACGAAGATTTCTTGTTTTTTCCTGAACGAAATCGAAACCTACTTGACCCTAAAAATGTCACTGTTTTAGCTCCTGAGGGTCCGTGTAGACTTAGCTCGACTTCGGATACATCCAACGGGGGTCCGGCGTTTTCAGATGGTGGTTTTCTTAGGGCCAAATAAGTAGGTTTCAATTTCGGTCGAAAAAATATAAAATGTCCATTTTAACTCTTAATGAAATCGCTGTTGAAGGCCCTACAAAGTTACAAACTCGAATTTGTTTGTTTGGGATGCAGCTTTGCAGGCAATTTTATTTAAATTTGAAATTTCAAATTTCAAACACAATTTGCGGTGAAAATGGTTGTCCTTATTGAAGCTGATCCTTGAGTGTATATTGAACTCTAACCCTCAGCCTAAATATTCATTAAAATGATAAAATCTTATTAAAATGCGCAACACGTGACACACGTTGCTCATCTGTAATGGAGGGGCCCACAATGTTATAACTTATACGGAGAGGATTACTCTCTACTGTCTATTGTTCTTCCCAAATTCTGTATGAATACTAGGTATACAGTACTATACACTGTATAGTTCTTTTTTTTTCATAATTCTAATATGTCTACAATCGTCACCCCTGATCTGAAGCATTAATCTTTTTTTTTTTTTTTTTTTTTAGCATTAATCATTTCTAATTTTTTTATTCATTGATTTACTTTTGGGTTTTCCTTTGGCTTGCAATTTTCATTTTTCTGCTTCTTTGTTTGCTCGTCTTTGTTTTTCAAACTTTTTCTATAGCATCTTGATATTGTTGCTCAGGATAGTGAATGCTATTTATTATTTAATAGTGAATAATACTTAATATTGATATTGTCTCATTAATTTATTTCTTCCTCGTTGAAAAAGGAGGATGTTTTTGAATTTTTTGTAGCTCTCCCTTTCCGGAGTGCTTACTAAGGTAGTACCTACGTAGCACCATGTTTGCGCTTGGAGGCGAATGCGAACAAGCGCCCAAAACCCTCCGAACGTGAACATAAAAAATATTTAAAAAAAACAAAAAAAAAACAAAAAACAAAAGTCAGAAAAATCTGGAAAAAAACAAATGTTATGTAAAATAACAGTACAAGCAACTTTTGCCTTGGAGTGATGTTCAAATCCGTAGCCAATCATGAGTTGAAAATCGAAAACCGAAAAACAAATATTATTATTAATTTATTATTTTGCTTTTTAACTTTTTTAGTAAATGTTCGCGAGCTGTACAAGTTCGCGCGAACATGTTCGCCGTGCTACGCTGGGTAGTACTAATACCGTATTAGCACTGATTAGTACTTAATAGGAAGTTATTACTCTATTCTTGAAATTGGTTTAAGGTTAATAGGACTCGATATGAAGATTAATAGGGATATCGTTTTTGCCATCCTGCTTTCTTAAATTTGTGGATGAGTTTGTTTAATCAGAACATGAACCTGTGAAGGTATAAAATGAGTAAATTTGTAATTACGAATTAGCATTTACTATGAAATAATTGAAATTAACATAAAAGTGCCATAAGTTGTAAATCATGATAAATGCCATACAAATTGATACAATCATTTGCAAGGATACTGTGGAGATAAAAGTTCAAAAAAATCAAATCACAAACATTTTGTGCCGTTCTGAACCAGCATTGACTAAGCGACAAAGCAACGGGCAGGGGTGAAGTCCCACCGCCGAAGTTGAGTTTTCTCAACGCTGAGCTTTCTATCACGCGTGGCATGGTGGGACGGAGCTCTGCCGTTGATGTATTGAGAATCTAAGGGTACTGAAATATAGGAGAATAACCTATTAGATTTGGTCATTTTGTAGAATTTTTCTTTGACGTGAAATCCGTTTTGTAGTATGCGTTGGGCCTTGGTTTGGGCGGGAAGCCATTTTCCATTGAGAAAACTACCCTACCGAGGGTAGGGTACATTTCTCAACTTATTTGCCTTTCGTTTCTTTTTTTTTAAGATATCATTACACCCTGAAACGGAGGAACTTTGACAGCTGTCTTTGGCTCTCTCACATCAAACTCTCTTCCTTCTTTGGGCAATGAACGCATCTGGCCATCCATGTTGTCCCTGTCCATTTTATGAATGGTGACCTCCTGTCCCCTCACCACGGGAAGTACCCTTCTTCCATGGAGACATTCACTCCGACTGTTCCAGACGTGTTTCATTTCTCCGAGTTACTTCATCAAAAATAAGGAGAAAAGCTGTTTCTAGCGTTTTTTTTTCAGTTTTTTAATTTTTTGTTTCGAATTTATTAATGTCAAAATGGTGTCACACGGTTGCCTTTTCTAAACTAAACTTGGGCGGTGGGACTTCACCCCAGGAATGACAGAGCAATGATCACAGATGTACAGGTACTCAAAATAAAAATGATATTGAAGCCTCTTGATGGAGAAACCATCCCCTTTCTCTCCTTCACCAATCACTGTGATTACATTTGTCCTACTACTAGCCTACGCTGGCCTATTCTAGTCAACCTCCCCTGTTTGTCGACCAATCCTGCTCAACATAATGCTGCTCGCGCCGAGTTCATCAAAAGAACTGTGTTGGTGGAGCTCGCATGCCAAAGACAAACCGGATAAGCTTCCTCCCTTCCCCACACAGCACTCCTTTCCCCCCAAAGGATTTTCTCTCTCTCTCTCTCTCTCTCTCTCTCTCTCTCTCTCTCTCTCTCTCTCTCTCTCTCTCTCTCTCTCTCTCTCTCTCTGTGTGTGTGTGTGTGTGTGTGTGTGTGTGTGAGCCCCGCTCTCTCTGGGTGGGGTTGCCCAATCCTGCTCCTGTCTCTTATACACATCTAGATGTGTATAAGAGACAGGCAGGGTCCCGGGCAGCCCCAGCGCAAAAAAAAAAAAAAAAAAAAACACTTTAAGAAAGTCAAACAATTCCCGAAAAAAATATGTTGTGTAGAATTGCAATACAAACCACTTTTGGCTGAGGGTCACATCAGAATTCCTCACCGAATCGGAGATAAAAAAAGAAAATAACAAAATCACACTAAAGGACCCCCCTTTAAACCCTCTTAGCCCCTTTAAAAATAATTTATACCCCCCTTGACACCCTTGACAGCCAACTCTCAAAAAATGAAACGAGCCCGGATTTGGGTTCCTCTGGGAAAGCATAGAAACTTAGAAAGGGATTTATTTTTTTTATTTTTTTTTGCACGGCCGGGTACCCCGGCTGCCCGGCCGGGCATGAAAAACTTCCTAGCTATAAATTTATAAAACCCTATTCGCAGTAGCTTTCGGAGTTTGCCAAAAATTTTCTCCGAATTCGGTGTTTTTGCCAAGGTTTTCGTTACTGGTCCAAATATGTGGAAACTGAATACGGATATACCCTAAAGCACATACATATCACACACACACACACACCAAAAAAAAAAAAAAAAAAAAAAAAAAAAAAAAAAAAAAAAAAAAAAAAAAAAACAAGGAAAAGTAAAAATTCAGGGAAGCATGGCAGGTTCGGTGAAAATTTTGCCAAAATGGCACCACCTATTAACCGTTAGTGTTGCATCACCTTGGCAGTCCATCCACTAAATGTATGAGGTGATAAGGCCTGCAGCTGGATGGAAATCGGGCCCCAAAGTGGCCAGGTGGGAAAGGCCAAAGATGTCCAGGCCGCTGCTCGACTCAACAACTGAGATACCATTACCGGTTTAGGGTTTAGGATGCAGGGGTCTTTCCAGAAAAGTCCAGAAGCAACGGGTAGGACTCTGACGGCAGCAACATTCAGGCCAGCAAAAGTCCGGACCCTGACCCTGGCCTCCAGTATTTGGAGAAGGCTGGGCAGATTGATCTATGGCGCATGACGATGTGCGAAAGGTGTAAAAATACTAAAAATACTGTAAATGACACTGAATACTCATCTACTACTATACTTAGTACGATTACTATAGTCAGTACTTTGCTATAGTTAGTACTATTAGTCTATTACTAGACTATTAGTATATAGTTAGTACTAGTAATTTGGTAGTATCAAGTACTATTCACTGAAAGAGATGGTACATGATTGACTAGAGCGAGACGGCCCTGGATGAAAGTTCGTGAAACCGATACTTGCAGACTTACAATCTGTTGTCTTCTTTGTCACGTGTGTGTTGTTCTTTGAAATCACAACATTCAACACTTCAAATTCAAAAATTTGCTTGCACAAAATTTTGACACAATGGGATACCACTATGGCAGTCTGGTTCCCATTCCCTCGCTGGAGCGGATATACTACCATTTCTCGGAGCCAATCGACACATCACAGTTCAAATCTCTTGTGCATGATCCGGAAGAGGTAGGCTTTCTCTTGCTTAATGTGTCAAATTTGTTTTTTTCTTTTTTATTCTATCCTCTCTGCCTTGCCTTCTGTGCATCAATTGCATTCCTATAAGTGAATTCTCAGTTCTGTTGACTTAGCACGGTGGTTAAGAAACTTGGCTCTTGTGGCTAAGGGCGCGGGCTCGAATCCGTGCGTGCACAGAGGAGGTCTGAGGCCCGATATATGGATCCGTAACTACTGCGAAGCTCCCATGGAACCCGCGGCCACGGGCAATTTAAAACGTGTGTGTTGTGACTGGGCAAGGGAGCAGTGGGGGTCACATGCTGATTGGAGTGAAGTGTCCCAGAATGCCATGTGTCTTGTGTGTGAGTTAAACACTACTCTCTCTCTCTCTCTCTCTCTCTCTCTCTCTCTCTCTCTCTCTCTCTCTCTCTCTCTCTCTCTCTCTTTGTGTGTGTGTGTG